CTTTATATTGAGTTGTCTAATTCTGAAATTTTATTGTTAATCTTCTGGATTTCTGATTGCTGTCTGTCTATGGATTCTTGCAGCGAGTTTAATTTGTCATTATGCTCTTCTCTAATCTTTTTAATTTCCTCTATTGCATGTTCTGTGTTTTGATTAATTTCCTTCCTAATTTCTTGAAGAGTTCTGTATATTAATCTTTGCAGTCTGCCTCTGGTCATTCCAAGAAATTTTCCTCCTCTGGGAAATGTCTCGATTTTTTATTTTGGGAGGTTTCTGAAGCCATCATGGATTGTGTATTTATGTGATATCATATTGACTGTTGTCTCCAAGCCATAAATAAGTTATTATATTTATTTATTTTATGTTTGCTTTTGTGTCCTAGCTTCTTGTTTTGTTTTGATATGCCCAAATAGGCTGCTTGTATGAGCTAGTTTGATTATTGGCAACTTTGAAGCTCTAATGTCCTGTCACCAGGTGGTTAGATCTGTTACTAGGTATGTGAGCTCACGAATATGCCCACTCCCCCTGTATGGATTCAGCTTAGGTGCCCAGGTAGATAGCCACCAAGTGTGTGGTGTAGGCTCTCACCTACAGTCCTAGACAGGCATGGGTGATTGGTGTAGGTACAGGCATCTGGCTGCAGTAGGGGGACACACTCTGAGCAAGGCGGGGGGCTGACAGCCGCCCCCGAGTCTCCAGGAGGAAGGCATGTCCCTGTTCCCTAGAGCACATAGGTGGGAGGGTTTTTCAGCTGGACTATGAGCACGTAATGCTGTTGGCTGTAAGGACTGGGGAGCACCTCTTACTTATGGGCCCGTATTGCAGGTGGCTAGGTGGTATGGGTGGAGCCACCAGTCCTCAGGCCCCTGATGTGGGTAGGTGAAGACCCTGCTTAATGGGCAGAGCAGTGTCAAATGTCACGAACCTGCCACTTCACACATGAAACAGTTGAAGTTAGACTTCAGGTCTATACCCTATTGTACTGTGGTATTGAGGGCCTACGCTGTTGAAATGGGCCCACACAGGTCTAGGCAGGGGGAAAAGCACTCAAAGTCTGTGAATCCCTTATGCCTATGCCTAGGCAAAGGAGCTATGCCTACTCTGGGTTCCTTGCTTAGGGGAGCTGGCCATTTATTTTTTCCCGTTTGTTAATTTGTTCACTCTCCTAGGCCGGGAGAAGGGCTCAGAGAGTGTGACCGATCCTACTTCCAGCCCAGGGGACTCAGCAATTGCTGAAGCTGGTCCAGGACCCAGTGCAGAGCAGGGAGCAGGGAGGTAAATGAGAGAAAGGTTTTTCCCTAAGGGGGGTGTTTTTGATCTGTGTGATAGGTCATACGCAAGTACTTATCTTTCGCCAATCCAGGGCTGCTTCTCACTGGTTCTGAGTAGCCGAGTAGACTTTCTGCCTCTGGGTCTCTCCTAGTGTGGAATACACCTCCTGATCGCGGCTGCTTGCCTGCCTCACCACTTATCCATGAGCTGCTCAGGCCTGAAGGGCTCAGGCTCTGGCCAGGTCAGGTCTGGCAACTCCTCACTGCTTCTGAATCATCTCTCCCTCCCCCTGCCACTCAGTCTGGTTCCTCAACTTTGCCTTAGATGTTCAGGTTCCCTAGATTGCCATATATAATTGATTCACTTGTTTTTTCTCGTCTTTGTTGTAAGAGGGTCTGCTGGAAGCATCTGACTACTCTGCCATCTCGGCCCCCTATTCATGAGTTTTGAGTGAAATCTATTAGGATTGCATGTTCAAATTGCTAAAGCACTTTCAGTGTACCGTTTCTGATATTTTAGGGGAAGGAGGGAGGAATTTCTTAACAATTGCCCAATCCCCAACCTTAGAAAACAATTGTTAGATCTGTAATCTATAAAGCTCCTAGTGTAGTTCTTGGCATGTAGTAAAGGGTCTGAGAGATTAAGAGTTCATATGTTATTATGGAGGAGAAACATACCTGAAGAAAGCAAGTGACTTGTCCAAAGTCTAAGAAGCAGGAATGTTGTTTTTGGATACTCGTCTTTAGTTGAGATATGTGAGACCAAATTTTATTTTGTGGTTAGTCACACGGATACCATTCTCTTCAGTAAATGTTTTCTTAGGAAACCTAGGCAATGGAAAATTTCTCCAGAGAGATACTTGGTTGGCAGGTGTTTTCTGTGTTACTGAACTGAAGAGCTCTCTGCCTGTTGCATCCGGTAAATAAGGGAGGTGGGTTAACAGTGACTCTTAACCCTAGCAGGCCTCTAGAACCACCTGGGAGCCTTACGGAGAACCTTTATTGCCCAGCCCCAGTGTGAGAAGTTTTGTGTTTAGGCTAATGAGGGTTAGGGCCAGACAAGCAGGATTTTTAAATACTTTCCAAATGACTCTAGAGGGTTCCTGTCTATTCCTGTGCCATTAGCCTTCTGTGATTCTATGCTTTCTACATCTTTATAGATATAGGCACATTTTCCATCTCTTTGGTAACCTCTCTTTAAAAGGGAAATTTTTAAACTTCTGGAAATTATGAAGCAGGATAGGAATTAATCAATTTGCTCTTATGAAACATATAAAAACTTGATTTTACAGGAAGAATTGCCGAAATTGTTCTATAGTTACATATGAGATATCGCAGGAGCGGTAGCTGACAGCCTCTTCATTTTACACAATCAGAACCATCACCTGTCTTTTTCACTTCCTAAATTCATTTGACACAATGAAGCGTCCCAGACCAGTTTTCCCTTTAAAATTTACAAAGTGATGGCACTGATTCCATGTATTTTAATAATAACAACATACACGATGCAAAAAGGTAATAAAACTAGTAACAATGAGAGAAATAACAATGACTTTGTTCATTGTGTGGGAGCAGTTTCGGGATTAGGATTCATTTGTTGGGGCTGTGTAAGGGTACATCAAATGTTCAAAATGAGTGGTATTTGAGCCTGCTTAGATGTGAAACTTAAATGCAACCTATGTTCCTAATGCTGATGACTGCTAGATTATGTTGGTTGGATTTTCAAATTCATCTGGCATCTGCTGCAGATTGTGTGTTGATGTCCTAGTCATTTCTTCAATAACTCTAACCCTATGAGGCAATTGAGAGAGGTATATAAAAGGTCACTAGGAATGCCTAAGGGAATGATGAAGATCTGTAAGTAGAACACACTGGGAGATCAGCACACATCCCACCCAACATGGTCTCTCTCCAATTTCCTTCTTCACAGAAAGGACACTTTCGTTCAATCTTGGAAGATCTTTCAAGTTTTTTTCTTCACAACTTGAATGATTCAATTGGTAATCCTTTTACATTTAGTGAATTTTGCATCAAGGAATTGTTTATGTGTTGCCATGAGTTATTTCCTTTTGCAAACATCATTTGCAACTGATCACTTCTAGAAAGCCTCACTTGGTTAAATAGAATGACGACCCATTAATCTAGGACTGTATCTTTCAATGATATATCAAAAGCCATATATGTATAGGTATGTACTGATTGATGTCCTATGTATGAGAGCACGTGTCAAAATGTTGCTTTTATTTTTCCAATTTAAGGGCCAATGGCCTTTGAACATACTCTTCCCCCTGCCTAGGACGTGTTCGTTTCTACCAGAATCTCCTTCAGCTAGTTTTGTTCTAGATCTCAGCTCAGTTATTCTTGCTCAAGGAAGCTTTCTCTGACTTTCCTGTTCCACTGATTTATGTAACCTTGTATCATCTCTCCAAAGTATTGCTTTTATACTTGAGTGATTAGTTAATAAATAGCTGTCTCTCATAGTAGGCAGTAACTCTATGACCCACAAACTCACGGTCTGTGTTTGTTTTTGTTCACCAGGATATTTCTGGCACTTAGTCTGGTGCCTGGATTTAAGCAGTGACTAATAAATTGGTGAATGAATGGATGAATAAGAAACTGTGTTTTTTCATTGAGACATAGCTGCAGTTCCATTTCAGCCAAGAGTTTTGCAATACTTAAAACATTTTAAAGCTAATGGTTATCCAATAGTTTTAAAAAATAAGATCAGTGGTTTAAGGAGCATAGTTTATTATGCAAAAATAATGGATTTTACTAAAATATTTATTAAACAGATTTCTAAACGTGAACTGTGTTTCTATAAAACCAACCATAATCTCACCATACTAATAAAGCAATCATTTTCATTTCATCAAAAGACAGTATCCCTAAATTGAAGTGGTGCTGGTACTTCAAGTATTTAGTTCTAAATCTCTTTAGTTTTTTTCTTGTCTTTCCACTTTTCTGTATGATGACTGGCTGCTTCCTAAACTGGCAGGAAGTCAGGAGCTCTGAGAGTAGGGTTTTATTCCTTCGCGTCTAAAAACTAACGCCCCCTAGAGGCGAGAGTGCCCTGAAACGACCACACATGAAGCAGCCCTGGGCTCTGCCGCCTGTCAGACTAAGAACTTCACTTAAACGCCGCCTTCAGCGTTGGCAGCCTGACTCCATTGTGCCAAATTCAGGAATAGCACCCGTCTTTTGAGATTTCTTAGAATTATTCAGTAGAAGATCTTACTCTAAATCATGGGAACTGTTGTTTCACATGACCTTTTATTATACTTGAGAATTTGGCCATCGTTTTGATGAGAGATACCTTATATCTTAAAACTGCCTAGTGACCACTGTGGCTCAATGCCTCTCAACAAAGACTAGGACAAAATGTGCACATGTGCAAATAGTTGGATCACTGTAGGGAGCAATTAAAATTTTCCCCTTGTTAATGTCACACTGTCTTTTTAATAATTTTAAAACAATTAGTACTAGCCTTAGACCAAAAAGAAAATAAAACTTAAAAGACCCCTCTTTGTATATGGACAGACTAGCATATTTTCCTAATTGAAAGCCCTCATGGAAACATTCTAGCCAATTCCATAGTGGTGTTTGGTTGAGCCAAGCACCAGTTGACTAATGAACTAAAGTGGACGTGGCATATATTTTGGTATCCCTGGATGCCTTGTAATAGCAACCTTTGTGGTCATGCATGTTTTATTCCCACTTTGTTATGTTTTCCAGAGGGATAACCAACTGGCTGCTAGAGTAACAAATGAAAAGTAACCTGACTCCATTGACCCGCTAAGCTCCGCATGGGAAGGATGGAAAGGAACAGCCGTTTGCCTTGAACAGTGGAACAGGTACGGAACAGCTCCTTTCATTGTTGGCTTCCTTTATTTCTTTGCACATCAATTTCCAGACCAGATGAAAACAACAAATTGTTCCTGTTTGAGAACACAGAATTGGAGTTGTAGGAACAGGTACTGCGGGTTATTTGTAACATTTCTGAGTTGCCTTCTCAGAAATTGCTGTTTAAGAGTGCAATTAAGAGATAATTATTTTCAAACAGCAAATAAGTAATCATGCTAGGGAGAACTACTACTTTTAAACACAGGAGTAGCATTTTGGATGTGTGTTTATCTTTAAGGTACAACTGTATTTGAATATGGGGATTTTGCCCCACTAAATAAATTTCGGTGGAGGAATGACAGAAATCATAACAGAATGGTAAAGGTGTTTGTTTCCCGAGTGACAGCCATTTAAAGTGTTTTTGCTGTGTTTATCTCACCACCCTTGCCGCCATTCATTTTCTCAGTGGAGAAAGGGCCCTACCAAGAAAGGCACAGTTTGACATTTTTTTCTCCTTTCAAATTTCGCATAACATATATATATGTAGCTTATTTAGCTTTGAAAGGAAATGTTCATTTTGTCGTGAAAAACTTAGGACAGTACCCTTAGGATTCTTGGAATTAGAACTTTCGAATTTTTTGTTTGTCTTGAATCAGATGCACATTGTCATCAGGGTGCTGAACCTTCTTTCGATGGTGTCTATTATCAGGGGACAGATAAGCAGTGCACGGTTTGTGGTCTCTGTGTATTGGTCAATGCTTTAAGAAATTATGATATTAGTAGCATTATAATTTAGCTGGAAAGTAATTTTAAGTTTAGAAGATTAAGTATCATGTACCAGATGACCAAAGTTAAACTACTTAATGATTCTGCATGACAACATTTTTTTCCCATCGGATGGCTTGTAGGTGAGGGACTATGAATAGATAATAAAGACTTGAATTTTGCATAGGAATATTTGAATTCAAAAGGCTATGGACAAAGAATTCATAAAAATTATATTTTTATGAGGAATTAAGTAAGGGTATGGCTCCGTTATTTAGTGTAAGGTTATTTAGGGAGAGTTTTTATGGGCTGTTTTGACTATTACTCTGTAGTTAGTATGTTCTCAGAGGCATAATACCTTCCTTTATTTTTTAATTGTTAAAACAACTAAGGGTTTTGATGTATTACTCTGTTGAATCTGAAACTAAATGCACTCTAAATCAATAATATATGAAGAGTCTGGTTTCTACCTCAGCAAGGAGACAGAAGAGTAGAGTACCAGTGCTGTTTGGTGCACAAAGCAGACATACAGTCCTTTGGTTCCTTTATGTTTCAGCCTTTAAAGTCAGTCATCTACACAAGGGTGAGTCAAAAAGTATTGCTAAAAAATCATAGAAACCTTTATTAAACAAAAATATCAAAATGTGAAACTACTGTTTCTCCACATATCCTCCATCTAGGTCTATACACTTCTGAAAGCAGCGTTTCCATCTAACACTTCCCAGAAGAATTCTGCCCTCTTCGACTTACACCATGTCAGAACGGCAATTTTGGCATCCTCAAGGGACTCAAATTGTGTTCCTTTTAAATGTTCTTTGAGTTTTGGGAACAAAAAGAAGTCTGAAGGGACACGATCAGGGCTGTAGGGTGGATGGGGTAAGGTTTCCCAATGAAATTCTCTCGTAGGACAGCCCTTGCTACCCTCGAAGAATCAGCAGGGGCATTGTCATGATGGAAAAAAATTCCTCAGTGCAATTTTCCTGGCCTTTTTCTCACCAATGCTGTTTTCAATTTCCTTAAAACGTCTTCATAATAAGCTCCCATGATCATCCTGTGTCCTTCGAGAAAATCTGTCATGATTACCCCTTTGGGATCCCAAAAAACGGTCGCCATAACCTTCTCTGCGGTCTTCCCTCTCGGCTCATCTTTGAGGTCTAAAAACTGTTGTTTCATGTGGGACAGCATTCCCATAAACTTGTTGCAAAGGTTCAATGACTTGGGAAGATGTCCACTTGAATTTTGTAAAAATTTGATATTAGCCCTGACTTCAAAATCGTTTTTTTCTATGGCATAAAAAGTATCCGTTTATTTTTTTTTGAAGGCATCCTAACAAGATTAAGACAAGTGTATTACTGAGAGAACTTTCTGCAGTCATCCACTATTCATTGACTGCAGAGGCATGTTTAAACATGTCTTGTTTGGAATAAACCCGTTCATGTATGTATGAACTGGAACCCTAGCAGCAATCCTTTTTTACTTACCCTTGTATTTACCAGATATTGACCAGCTATCTTTTTCTTGTTGATGCAAATGGCCTTTTTATTTTTCTTTTGCACGTTAATTAGGAGATGTTATCTGTCTAAAAGGAAATCTTTAGGGAATGGGGCAAAGAAAATGAAATACGCAATAAATGGTCTCCAAACTCTCTATAACAACCCATTCTGAATGTCAATCCATGCCATAAAGCAATGATCAGCTACTGGATTTCATTTAGCAAGAAAAAGGTTATGTTGGATTGGATTTCTAAATGAAGAGGTGATTTGAAAAAAACACACACACACACACACACACACACACACAGGCTACTTACCACGTCCTCCTGGGTGTGAGTTTCTATGTATGAAAGAGATTTGAGAAATGGAATCTGCCTTCCTTTTTCCATTGGGAAGAGGAGTTTGGAGGAAGATAGGCATGGGAGAAGGAATAACGCATTCCAAGCTATTCCCCACAACTATGCCCTGGACGGGCCTGGACCTCACCTCCCTTGTTGCTTGGGATAATATTGAAGGAAGCAGCCTTGGAAAATGTTCACAAAGGGAGCTGGAGGGCACTGTTAGTCTCTGTGGGGTGCCTTTCCTCACATTGGAAAGGATGCTGGACCAGGTGTCAGGCAAATCCCTAACCTCTATGAACCTCAGTGTCCTCATCAGTGAAAAGCAGGAATGCTAGTTCATAGGCTGCTCTGCTCTCAGGCACTGTGTACCTAGTATGGCGTCCAGTGCCAAATCTGATGTGCATACTCCCAAGACCACCCAGTCAGCAGGGAAGATAAATTGGTTTGGAGTTTTGGAGTAGAGAGGGAAGGGCGTTTTTTCATAGGTGGTGGGAGCAAAGTTAGCAAAGACCAGAAGACAGATATCTCGGGGCTGTCAGTGTTGTTTCTGTAGCCCCAGGAGGAACTGCAGGGCTTTTTGGAGATGTCTCAGGTAGTTTTGACATTGGCTTGGGCTGCCCAGTGGCCAGGAATCTTTTTTTCTATACAGGCTTATAAACCGGGCTCCCAGAAGTGCTTAAAACGTAACCCGTGCATTTATCGGCTTCCGATTCCAAAAGAAAAGCCGTATTTCCAAACAGGGTTCCATTTACAGGCACAGGGGTTAGGATTTCAACATACCTTTCTGGGAGACACAATTCAATCTATAACACCATGATCAAAGCAATAAAAAACGGTGTGGTCCTCACCCTTTGTAGGCTCACCCAGCTGACGTGAGCAGCACCTGAGAGCAGGCCTGTTTCTCAAGGCTGGACTCCCTGTGGCCATGTTCGCCAGGATAATACATACTCTCTAAATGCCTATTTCTTATTTTATGAAGAGAACTCATTATTCTGGGAACCAGACTACTCCTGTCAGTATGACCAGCCCATGCTCTCCCTGTGGGCTCACCTCATGGAAAGCCAAATCATCATCAGAATGCCAATTTATTAATTTACTATGAGAAATATTTGTCACATGGGCTGGAGCACTTGAATATGCGTGACTAGTATATTCTTTTCTTCAGGGTGGACAGACATAGGATACCGGATCATAACCAGCAGGTGGCTTGATGAGCATGGAGTTAGATATATCAAATGTTTAACAACATTTGACTGAAATCTCTGGGTTGGTTTCTCTCAAGGGGAACTACTTGGCTAATGGGACTCGAATATTTGAGTCCTTGGCTAAGGCACTTTCCCCTTGATAATGCTTGGATGGCCCAGCCAGCATTTGCCTCTGCATTTCTTTTTCTCTGAACATCTATGTCTGGTCAATCTTCTGGATAACCGACATGAGAAGAACCTGGTAACACACCATTAGTTATGTTTGTGCAGTTAATCAGATTCATGGTGAGGTCTTGCAGGCTTGGGAGCCATTTCTCTCTTTAAGATGACTTCCTGTATCTCTTTCCCGATCCATTATGCACTGACTTCATAAGTTAACTTTCAGAAAGCAATTATTTCTCTTCCTTCAGAGCTCTTGGGGGTATCTCTCTGGTGCCCCTAAATGCTGATAATAGGATATGTATACGAATATGCATAATTGTGCTTCTGGCACATAGTAGGTGCTCAGTAAATGCTAGTTCCCTGACCTCCTTCCCTTTAATGAAAGATAACAGCCCTTAAGAGCTTTGTGGGCCACAGCCCTGTGGTAGGCCCCTGGCATTACAAAGATTAATAAACATGAGGTTTCTAGTCCTTAAACCTCAGAGTATGGTGGCAAAAAAGACTTGCAAGTGAACAGTAACCCATCTGACATCAGCAATGATACCTCTTGTTCCACATCCTTTTTGGAATATGGCTTGAATTTCTGGCAGTTCCCTGTTGGTATACATCTGCAGTCATTTTTTTTATGTGATTTTTTGTCATTTTTTTTTAATTATGTGATTTATGTCATTTTTTAATTATGTGATAGTAATGATATTGTTCCATAATTTCTGCACTCCATTGGATCAGCTCTTTGGAATGGGCACAAATATAGATCTCTTCCAGTAGGTTGTCCAGGTAGCTGTCTTCCAAATGTCTTGGCATAGATGAGTGAACGCTGCTATTATCAGCTCAGACCTTTTCTGTAAAGCTCTCTGTAACATACCTACACGAGGTAGCCACTTGTTCTTTATTCAGTCATCAACATACTTTATTATCTTCTAGCAGCCCTGGTGGCACAGTGGTTAAGAGCTTGGCTGCTAACCAAAAGGTTAGCAGTTCAAATCCACCAGCCGCTCCTTGGAAACTCTGCAGGGCAGTTCTACTCTGTCCTGTAGGGTCGCTGTGAGTCAGAATCAACTCGACAGCAATGGTTTTTTTTTAATGTGCCGGGCAAGGTCCCTGGGTGGTGCAAGTGGTTTGCCAATAGCTGCTAATGTAAAGGTTGGCAGTTCAAACCCACCCAGCAGCTCAATGGAAGAAAAGCCGGGCATTCTGCTTCTGTAAAGATTATAGCCAAGAAAATCCTATGGAACTCAGGTCTACTGTGTAACACATGACCAACATGAGTCAGAATCAACAGGACAGCGACCGGTTTGGTTTTATGTACCAGGCACATAGGCCTCTGTGGCACAGAGACAGGCAGAAACCTTTTCCTCCAGAACATTTCTTCTTGCTCTGCTCAACCTCCATACTCGGTTCTTATCTACCCCTGAACAGTAGTTTAATCATTGGCATACACTTTTGTATCCATATATATTAGTCTGCAACCTCCCTAAAGACCTGGCCCACATTGCAGGCTACAAATAAATAACTGACTTGTCTGCCACAGGTGTTACTGTAATCAGCTCAGCATATTATCTTCAGTAACCTGTAAATCTTTTTCCTGACTTATTGCTAGCAAGACCCAGGCAGGAAGGAATGAAAGCTGGCCATGGAGCATGGTGCTCACAATCCTAGACTCCGTGTGTGTCTGTGACTTACTAAAATGGATTTTAGGGCTATTTGTCAATTTTGGGGGAGTCATAATATCTGTCTCATTTCAAAAGATACATGATTAAGAGTCAGTACAGTTTTTTTCCCTCAAATTGAAGCTGTTTCTTTTAGATGCCAAAGATAGAGAAAAATTGCTAATGCGAAGAAAACTACTTGTCATACTCATTATGTCTCAGTTTTCTTGAGTAGCTCTCCATATACTTTCTTTACGAGAGCATCTAGACCCAAGAGGTTTATAACTGCTTCTTTTGTCCATACTCAGTGTCTACATAATACGCTTCAATCTGTCTGGTTTGAATATCTTGGTATGTCATAGTTGTTTTCCCCAAGTATTCATTCCGAATACCTGGAAGCTACATTCAACTTAAAGGAAGAATCCATGCAGTGATTAAGAAAAATTCACAACGGAGAAGGCTGGCTTAGAGGTGTTTGGAATATCGTCCCTGGTGTTAATTAAGAGAGTACGTGAAGCCCGGGAGTCTTGGGTGACATTGACCAAAACTTACCTGAAAGATGATCAAAAGAAAAAAAAAAAGGGTAAATTTGTGAACAGGGAGGAGTTTTATTGACTTAACTCAAGGACAAGTTGTGGGAGACGAAGAGCTGCAAATGGTCTGGTGACAGCTGGACCAGGGGACTGACCCCCACTGGGGCTCTCTCTCCATGCCCTGCTGCTGCTTCTCTTCCACAGGTCAGCTTCAATCTCTTGTTTCAGGCAGCCAACAATTTCCAAATTTTACCTCTTACAGGTATCACCATCTGAGAGATTCTCCTGCATCGAGAAATCCTATGGAAGGATTCTAAGTGGTCTGGCTTGAGTCAAGTACTCCCTCCTGGCCTTCTCAACTGAGATCAGGCAAGATGGAGGCAGGTCTCAGGAAAAGTGCATTGCTGCAGTGAGGACTAAGCACGCCCCAGAACAAGGAGGGCTAGTAGGCTAATGAAAAAATAAATGTCTAACTACAACGATCACCAGCCAGAATGCCCCAAAAGACATGTCTACATTTGTTAAATTGGTCTGGATGACCTCTTCCTAACTGCATGTTCTACAGTCCTAGAATTAGAGTCATTCACTGATGTGTTCTTAGTTGGCATTAGCATCCACTGACTTTGGGATCTAGCCACCCAGCTAAATCTTGAAATCACAGTCAGAGGGACTAGCTCTGGTCTTATTCCTTATCCACCAAGCCACACAGAAATCCCTATTGTCCAAATCTTATTCATTCATGGCATCCGTGTGGTTTGTGGAGAAGCCTGCCCTGCCCCCATTACTTGGAATCATTAGTTTCCTTTGTGCAGACACAGTCAGCACATCAGTATCCCGAGGACAGGTGGAGGAGGGGCAGAAGAGGGGACAGGGAAGGAAATGGGTGGGGGAGAAGTGCCAGTTACTCAGGAAATTTTTCCTCCAGTTGCGTATAGTCAGCTGGGCTGTAGTTCCTACTGAGCTGAGGGATTTTAATTTGCACTTCAATTTCACAAACACTGTAAATGCACAAACATACCTGTTGTTGTTAGTTGGCACTGAGTCTGCTCCAACTCATGGTGACATCATGTACAACAGAACAAACCTCACCCCGTCCTGGGCCATCTTCATGATCATTGGTATGCTTGAGTCCGGTGTTGTTGTCACGGCGTATTTGAGTGCCTTCAAATCTTCCAACACTATATCAGACAACATTCTGTTGTGATCCATAGGGTTTTCATTGGCTGATTTTCAGAAGTAGATCACCAGGACTTTCTTCCTAGTCTGTCATAGTCTGGAAGTTCCACTGAAACCCGTCCACCATTGGTGACCCTGCTGGTCCTTGAAATACTGGTGGTATTGCTGCCAGCATCAGCGTAACACGTACGGCAAAGTGACAAATGGGTGGTGGAAAAACACACCTAGTGTGTGCCAAACCCTGCAGAAACCACTGTAGAAACCGCAGGGAATGCTGAGAGGAATGACACAGCCCCAGGCCTTGACTTGCTTACTCTCTAAGGAAATTGTGGTGAATGAGTGAGAAAGGTAAATTACTATTTACAGAGCGCAGCCAGCCAGTTCTACTATGTCCGATAGAGTCGCTATGAGTCAGATTCAACTCAGCAGCACACAACAACAGCCAGACAGTGTGGGCAACTGTCTGATTTTGTTTTGTTTTGTGGCTGGGCAAAGTTGGGGGGAGAATCAGGGTTGCTTCTCACCTTGTCCTGTGTGAACCAGGCATTTGGAGCCAGGACCCCTCTGGCTTCCAGGGGCTGCACTTCCATGGGAGGCTAATTGGGGAAGGGCAATGAAGCCGAGCTACATGGTGAGCCCTTGTCCAGTGAGGTTGCACCCGCAGGAGGCCTTTTTGTCCTCAGAACCTTCAGAGTTGCTGGATTTTTGCCTGATGTCTCACTCCCTTCAGAACCAGCTCCCTTTTCTTCCCTCAGAAACCTGAAGGCTCACAAAAACATTTTAAAGTTCTTCACACTTGTTCTTAATGAATTCTTAGGGCCACAGACCCTCACCACAACATGCTGGGATCTCGGGCCTCTAATGCTGCCTTGAGAGACGAGGCAACATCCAGTGGCCTTGGCCCTTGCCTGTGCTGTCACAGCCATTAGTCTGAGGTAGGAACAGACCTTGGATTCTGCTTCCAACTGAGCCACCTGTCCCTGGGCTGTGCACATCTGGGTCTGCCGCTGCTGCGGTGTCACCAGTGTCTGTATGTGAGTGTCTCCGGCGCCCTGACACCATCTCCTCAGCCCTGCTATATTCATTCATTTCCATCCTCCCACTCATAGCAACTGCCACCCAAGGCGCATAGCCAGGAGATGGACACTGATTCTAAGGAACTTCTGGTCAGAGGATGTGACATACTAATTCGTTCTTATTTTTTAATAGATGAAGTCATTTAATCCTCACTCCTCCAGGAGTTTAGGCACCTTTCCTTTCAAATTTACAGATAGGCAAGGTCATTGAGCTGGTAATGGCAAGACCAGTATTCCAGCCCAGAGGCTCCGGCTACAGGGCATGCTCTGAATCACACACTGTGCTGCCACCAATAAAAACAGTTATCTTTTAATGTAAATTGACCTTGTCTTAGGGTATATTATATGCATTATTTCTAAACCCTTTAGCTATCCTATGAGGTGGGCTTTATTATCCTTATGCTACAGGTGAAGACACTGAGGCTTGGAGAAGTGAGGTGGTGGATATGGGACTGGCCCCCAGGTCTGCCGGCCTCTCTCCACCACCCAGAGCCAGAATGCAGCAGGCAGATGGCCCCTTGGGACCTGGGATGATAGCTCAGAACTTTCTGGATGGGCCAACAGGGAAAGGAGCTATCTCAGGCGCAGAACCCATGTGCATTCTGGGGGAATCTGAGAATCCACAGCTGCAGAGAAGTTCTAACTTGGCTCCCAGATAGGACCAGGAATTTTTTCCTGATACTTAAAAAAAGTTTTTTTTTTAAGTTTTGCTCTAGCAAGGCCAATAGAGACAGAGTAAAATGGACCATCACTTCTCTTGCTGGCTAAATTTGGAAAACATACAAAAAAGGAGTTAATTCTGGCCAAAAAAAAAAATCTACATTTGTCTGAGCTATCAGGATTGATTTTCAACAATTCTGAATTAACTAGGTGTCCAGATAACATCTTGCTTCTATTTAACCACAAGGACTCAGCCTGGTTCTGTTTGCATGACTCCCAGTGGCCTTCAACATCCGAATGGAAGCTCTATTTCTGGCTCTCCTATCCCCTTCCTCCTCTTCCATTGCAGCTGGTGCACGAATGCATTTCAGAATTGCCAGTTTATAGAAGGTCAAGGACGAACATCTTCCCCTTTTAGAAAGTGGGATTCAGTCACACAATCTTCATGACTGCTTCCCCTTCTTTGGTTTTACAGCCTGAGAAAATGGCTTGTGACACATCTAGCTCAAGACAGCGGACTCTGTCCACTTCTGGAGAAGCACTATATGAAATCCTTGGTCTACAAAAGGGAGCATCCAATGAAGAAATTAAGAAGACCTACAGGTATGGAGGAAGGTCAATGCTGACACTTTCTGTGCTACTAGGATAGCTATTTTGTGATTGGCAAGTGGCTCCAATAAAGACACAAACTTCTTGCCAAGACCAGGCAATCTGAATGTTAGGCCTGGTGTTCCCTGTTGTAAAACATAGGCACTTAGCAGACAGGCATGACAGTGATTTTATGAAAGAACTCTGATGGTGTGGGCCTGTGGGAAAGGGCAGCCTGTGTTTTAGGCCTGCAATGTCAGAGAGAAAGAGAGAGAGAGAGGTCACTACGAATGCCCAGGAGTTGTGATTTAACCCATATAACACTACTGAATCAGGTAGAGGTCACTTAAAAAGAAAATTTTCTCTTTAATATATGAGGGCTTGTCACAATTGCTGTATTATAAACCGCACTTTTCAAGCTCTCAATGTTGATCTTTCATATCTGATTTAATTCCAAGTTACCTATTTCTACGTGAAATTGAGATACCCTTTTTTTAAAACTCCAAAAAATAGAAGTAATGAGTACAAAATGAATTTACTTATTTAGAAAATTTAAGTTATCAAAAATGAAGAAAATAACCTTTGTCCATAATTCTACCTCTAGTGATAATCATTGATATTTTGATGTTTCCTTCTAATTTTTTTTCTGTCTGTATAAGAAAGGCATTTTAAAATCAAATTAGATTCTTCTATATTCTCTAAATATCTTTCTTTTTAATAATGTTATTAAATATTCTGATTTTTAATGGCTGCAGCCTATGGCTATACAATAATTTATTTAATCACTTAATGAACTATTATTTAATATATGGTTTCTTTTAGTTTTTCCCTGTACTTAATATCCTTGTACTTACATAATTATGCATATGTATCATTATTTCCTCATTTTTTAAATAAAGGAACAAAGTAGTGCCTTTATAGGAAAAAGAAATCAAACTATAAATGGAAGTTTCAGATTTTAATCAGTTCCTTCTTGATTTGGCCTTGAATTGGGTTTTTTAAATTTATGGGTTTTTTTATGTAAGGAAGTTTAAAATTTTTAAGTAGGCAAATTTGTTAGTTAATTGCTTTGATGGCTTTTGTTTTATGTGTCAGGGTAAAAAAGGCTCTCCCAGTTACAGTATTATAAAAACATTAACCCATATCTTCTCTTAGTACATTTATGATTTTACTTTTATATTAAATCTTCGAACCACTTGGAGTTTATTTTGGCATAAGCAGGATTTCAGCTTATTGTTTTTTTTCCAAATGACTAGCATACCAATATTTATTGGAGTCTCCATTTTTTTATCACTAATGGGAAATTCTTTGGCCTTTGATTGAAACTTTCACCATACTGTAAATTGTGGGACCTGAAATGCCTTCAAGAAGCATATGTTGAAGAATAAATGAGTATGGTGAAAATTGCCATTTGGAGCCAAAAATTCTTTTCAAATGGTGGAGTCTGATCAAAGTCAATGTCAATCTTCTAGTTTATATTGCACTTAAGGTTCTGGGGAAAGAAAAGTATTTGTTTTACTGTGCCCTCCGGCTAGGGAAGGAGTGTGCCTGGGAGCTTCTTAGCTGGCCTGTGGGTGGATGTCCTATTGAACTCTCCTTGGATGAGTGTCATTAAACTTGAGTCTTGGGGCTTATACATTGTACCAGGGTGGCAGGTGGGAATCAAAGTGACTGCACTGTAAGCTTTCATACCTACAAAGATGCTCCCCCAAATGAGAAAACAGTGATATCTAACTTTACTTTACAAATGTGACTTTTAATGGCCTTTATTAATTTTGTCAGCTAAAATTTCAGGCCATATCCTAATTAAGGCACTAATTATGCTCACTTGTTTGCAAGTTTAATAATTACAGCATAAAGTCTTTTCATGTAATCAGTGTCTTGCTATTAATTTTGTTTTAATATTACACAAATATTGTTTTTTTCAGCTGATTAGGGTACTAGTATGCTGCTAAAAGCATCCACTTATCTTTCTAAATTACACATTTGTATTCTGCAAGTTACTCAAAATGTATGAGCAAGCTGAAAATCCACTGAGAATATTATTCTTACATTCAGGAATCTGGATCAAATCAGTCACAATATAGTGAAATTAAAAGTCACTGAAATTTAATAAAGTTGCCAACTGTTGGATCCATACACAACTTGACTTCCGTAGTCATATAATTGTTATTCCTTGGTTGTGCTCCTAAAAAACAAGGCTCAGTTGGAAGTTTTTTGTTTTTTGGTCCCCCCACCCCTTTCTTTTACTTTTTCATTTTTATTTTTGAATAGACAATATAATCACTTGATTTAAAATGAGAATATACAATCAGGTATACAAAAAATGTCTCCCTTCCACCCTCTTCCCCCAGTTTCCTTTCCCAGAACACAGTATCAATTCTTTATGTTCCCTCTAGAGAGATTTTCTGCCTATATAGGTGTATATAGAGGACTTCTGGTCTGGACAAGATGGTGTAGACTTGTCTCTCCCTCCTCCTCCCTAATAAGTATAACTAAACAAACAAACCAGTTGCCGTAGAGTCAGTTCCAACTCATGATAATCAGATGTGTTGCAGAGTAGAACCATGCCCCTTGGGTTTTTATGGCTGTGGCCTCCTGGAAGCAGATCACCAGGCCTTTCTTCTAAGGTGACTCTGGGTGGATTTGAACCACCAACCTTTCCTTTAGTAGCCAACTGCTTGACTATTTGCACCACCCAAGGACTCCAACCTGTACATAGATCAAGAGGCAGTCATTCGAACAGTACAAGCGGATACTTCGTGATTTAAAGTCAGGAAGGGTGTGCATCAGGGTTACATCCTTTCGCCATACTTACTCAATCTGTATGCTGAACAAATAATCTGAGAACCTGGACTATATGAAGAAGAATGCGGCATCAGGATTGGAGGAAGACTCATTAACAACCTGCGTTATGCAGACGACACAACCTTGCTTGCTGAAAGTGAAGAGGACTTGAAGCACTTACTGATGAAGATTAAAGACTACAGCCTTCAGTATGGATTGTATCTCAACATAAAGAAAACAAAAATCCTCACAACTGGACCAATAAGCAACATCATGATAAAAGAAGAAAAGATTGAAGTTGTCAAAAATTTCATTTTACTTGGATCCACAATTAACACTCATGTAAACAGCAGTTAAAAAATTGAACAACGCATTGCATTGAGCAAATCTGCTGCAAAAGACTTCTTTAAAGTGTTAAAAAGCAAAGATGTCACCTTGAAGACTAAGGTGCACCTGACCCAATCCATAGTATTTTCAATTGCCTCATATGCATGTGAAAGCTGGACAGTGAGTAAGGAAGACCGAAGAAGAATTGACACCTTTCAATTGTGGTGCTGGAGAAGAATATTGAATATACCATGGACTGCCAAAAGAATGGAAACCCTGGTGGCGCAGTGGTTAAGTGCTATGGCTGCTAACCAAAAGGTTGGCAGTTCAACTCCACCAGGCTCTCCTCGGAAACTCTATGGGGCAGTTCTTCTCTGCCCTATAGGGTCACTATAAGTCGGAATCAATTCGACTGCAGTGGTTTTTTTGTTTTTTTTGGGCCGAAAGAACGAACAAATCTGTCTTGGAAGAAGTACAGCCAGAATGTTCCTTAGAAGCAAGGATGGCAAGACTATGTCTCACATACTTTGGACATGTTATCAGGAGGGATCAGTCCCTAGAGAAGGACATCATGCTTGGTAAAGTAGAGGGTCAGCGAAAAAGAGGAAGATCCTCAATGAGATGGATTGATATGGTTGCTGCAACAATGGGCTCAAGCATAACAAGGATTGTGAGGATGGTACAGGACCGTGCAATGTTACGTTCTGTTGTACATAGGGTCTCTATGAGTTGGAACCAACTCAACAGCACTTAACAACACAACAAAGGGACTCCAAGTACAACTGAAACCCCCGGAAATAACACAGGAGACAACCAAAATAAAACTATGAAGGGTAGAAAGAAGAAGGTGAATTGGTTTGGGACCCCAGGATTAAAGGAACAACACAGCTGTAGGAAATCCTGAAACCCCCCTGATCCGGCCTTTCCCGACACCCAGTCTGGCAACAGAAGGGCAGCCCACGTAAGTAAGGCTTATTCTTCTACCAAATCAAATGGGAGTCCTGACAACAACAATAGGCAAGCCCGGAAGAAAAGGCAAGGGGGACCGTTTGTGAGATCCTCTGAAAATAACTGGTCAAGGGAATCGCTGTGCTTTCCCACCAGTCTGAGATTCCCCTTTTCCATACAGAGACAGCATTTGGCAGGGGACATTGGCAAGGATTCCTCCACAACAAGCACCTGGCCAGAAAGCACTCTTTGTCCCTGCAGGCTGGAAAGAGCATACTTAAAAAGTAACTACAATAGACTATCCTTATCCTCGTAAGTTTTCTAAATTGTATGATGACTAGAATAAAAATTATAACACCATCTGATACTCAAGGTGGTGATATAGAAAAGTGGCAAGGATAAAGCAACCTAAAGGGAAGTATGGTTTCCACACTTCATTTGAATTGGTGAAATGTTGATACCAGTTGACTATGATAAGTCGCAGATGTACACTGTAATACTCAGAGCAACCATTAAGAAGTGATAAACTCAAAAACAAAGTGATACACTCAAGAACACTATGAATAAATCAAGACAGAATCCTAAAAACTGTTCGAGTAACCCATAGGAAGGCAAGAAAGGGAAACAGGAAAAAGAGGAAACAAACAGAAAGCAAACAATAAAATGGTAGCCTTAAGCCTTAACATATCAACAAATATCTTAAATGTAATGATCAAAGCATATATTTTTTTCCTTTCTTTTAAATGCAAATAGTGTTGCACTATCTTTCCCACCCTGTACTTTGCACTCTTCTTTTAACAATATATCTTGGAGATCATTCTAAGGAATGATCAGTTCGTAAAGAGTTTCCTCATTCTTTTCATACCACTGTGTAGTATTTCATAACATAGATGCCCCATAATCTAATTAGTTCCCTGCTGATGGATATTTAGGTTGTTTCTTATCATGGCTGC